TAATTAATTAATACTATAAAAAAGCACTTTTTAAAAATAAAATCTAATTTCTTGAAGTTTACTTGAACAATATATAATGTTCTGTGTAGTGTAAAAAATAAATATCCCTTCATTTGTTACAAAATGAAAAATTTGTTTTCATTTTATTTACCATTTTATGAGGTCCACCTCACATCAATGCGGCTTGCTTCGAATTAGCTTCATACTCGTAAATAGTTGGCTCTCAAGATTAAGATTATTGACCATCCYTGCTTTATATTATGCTACATAAATGAAATATGTATGATGTACACATAATATACATCGTCTGCAGCGACGTCACTAGGAATGTTGATGGTATACTATAGGTAGCACGTACTTGTTTTAACCTWTCGGTGTGGATAGGGGGTGGGGGYGACGGGTATGCCATGGCATCCCCTGTCGAGTTATCATCATRATYGTAGTTTTCAGTTGTTATAATGTTATTGATCGTAACATCAACTTGTAAGATAGTTCATTGACTCATTAGAACTTGAGACAAAATCCAAATAATATGTTAATTAGATTTCAGAATTATATTTTCATTTAGATTCGTATTTGCACTATGAGACGAATTATTATTTATAGGTATATTAAGAGTTTTTGGGGAGATATTTTCTTGTATTGAGTAACCTAGACATATTTAAAAACACCGGCGAAAAAATCTGTGCACGAGTATGATTGTAAATAGTAACCTAACGATGTATAGATCCTGACTTGTAAYGCAGAAACAACCACAATACGTGTTTATAATAAATAATAATATAGTTTGCTTTGTGCGACGCGATCGACGAATAAATTGGTTCCCGAGCCTAAATCCCACATGCCGAATTGGTTCCCGTTTTATTTTTTATTGGTTCCTATTTCAACAGCTAGACTTTATTTTTACCCACGTGGAACATACCTAGGTAGGTAATAGTATCTAACTAAGTAACTACTTGAGCAAATTCTATAATTTGAATCATCGTATAAGTACCCACGTAGACTCAGACTAGCTACCTAGTCGAATACGGTGTTTGTAATTAGCACTAAAATGAGTAGTACCTATACCTACATGTTTTCGATGTTCGATTTCTCGTCGCTTTTGTAAAATACTGAGAATTTTTACCTTCCCAATGCACCAACTAGATTCACTCGCCCCCTCCACCCCCCTGAGCACACCACTGGATCTGTGTACACTTTTTTTACGAYGCTTCATCAAAGTACAGGTTTCAGCCACTCCGTAAAGACTTATRTGTGTGATTAACRTGTTTATCTTTTGTTTCAGACTATTCGGCGTCAAATGCGGACGGTGTGGCGAGCCTTTGGGAGCCAGAGAGCTCGTGATGCGCGCTGGACCTAGTCACGTCTATCACGTGGGGTGTTTCGCGTGTGTGGCTTGCATGCAACCGTTACAGAAAGGCCAGCAGTACGTGGTCAAAGCCGGTGGTGGACAACTGTTCTGCCGCACAGACTTCGAAAAAGAAATATTTCTCATGCAACAAACCGTTGGAAGTCCACAACCTGGTATACACCTATAATAATAATATAACTATATRTTATATTAATGTAAACCGATAAATTATATTTYATACATAGCAATAATATTATTGACGCATTTGTTYTCGTCATTCATCGTGTCCATCATGATGCATAGTATATAGCTGATGGTATAAGTATTACACCCGCCCGCGTACTATAATTGTWTAATATAATATATCATAATTATATACCTGCATTAATTACTATAGTCTTATATACTGTTATCAGTCATACTTAACCTTCAATATGTATTTTAAATAATTAAATGTTTATTTTGAGTCAAAGGAAACCAAAATTACAATATACATAATATAATTTATAAGTTTTTTTAAAAACTACTGTTATTTGTTGCTAAAGTATCATTGCTCAAATGTTATTATTATTAATAATATTAATATAAGTTWATTAAGGTTTATATTTTGGTTTGATATTTTGATCTAGATTCCTTATCAATTAACAATGTAAACAATTGTTATCATGCATATGATGGGCATATTATTTTGATAAACCCTTTATGTTTTGAATTTGTTGAACTGTATMCAATTTTGTAATTATTGCTGCCCWATGCACCCAAAAATCATTCATTAGAGATCGTTGGTTAATATGTAAATATGTTTTTCTATGATAAGACAACAACACAACTATACTTCTATCGGTCAGATAGCAATTTTGATAGTTGAATTCATTTAAAGCTAATTTAAATAGGCAGGCATATATTCTGAATTTTAAAAAATTATCCACTCAACTTTGGTAAAATGACATAAGTTAGTTCCTCGTGAAAAAAATATAATCACGATTTACGAGCGTAGCAATCCATTTTTTTATTTATAAGTACCTATACTTTCTGGGTACGTAATTTAAAAGCTATTGCAGCGTACTTAACGATTACGAGTTTTCTGCCGCTAAAATGTAACGAAATTACTTCTATGGTCGCCGCTATATAGAGTATAATAAAATCATGTTTTGCATAAGGGTGGCATACAATTATAAAGAAATTAAAGGCGGTAAAATTAAATAAATATATAGGTGAAGGAGTGCAGCTTTAAAATGTTTGCCTTATAGGGCGAAATATATCTAACGATGGGCTTGTTGGACTTTATGATAGTACATAGACTACAATAGTATATGCGGAGGAACGATTGATATAAAACAATTTTTTCGTATTCCAATGAGACCTTACAATACATTTGTACGAAATAGACAATATTTCACTGTTTCAACGAAAATTCACCGTTTTTTTCAGACGACAGTCTAACTCTGGACGAAAATTGTAGACCTCGAGACGGTCGCCGTGGACCGAAAAGACCCAGAACCATATTGACTTCAGTWCAACGGCGGCAGTTCAAAGCCTCATTCGAAGTCAGTCCAAAACCTTGTAGAAAGGTAAGTTCATGACGTTAAAATATTTAATACAGTAATGAGATAATTACCTATGAAGAAACATAAGATTATATATGATATTTACGTTTTACGAGGTCTATAATGTTTTATTATTTCATTATACCGATGAATGGAATCATTCCAAATTCAGAATTTGTTTAAATCCAATTGTTATTACATATTATGTTTATCAATACGTTTATTTGTTCTGCTTAACACAGAAGTGTATATATATATGTACGCGTTCGTGTATATTTTGTTGAAAAAAAAGTTATACCTAAATGGCTATACTGCTATAGATTCATTTAAAATATGAGTAACAGACAACAGTCGTGGAATTGTATTTAATATAATTTATGTTCAGGTACGAGAAGCGCTGGCTAAAGACACGGGATTAAGTGTACGAGTAGTGCAAGTGTGGTTTCAAAACCAAAGAGCCAAAATGAAGAAAATCCAAAGAAAGAGTAAACAGGACGATAAAAATACGAATAATAATAACGCGAACAATACGGATAAAAATGAAACTGAGCACGCAACGAATACCACATCTAGCGTATGTTCTGGAGGTATGATACAAATAATATATTTTTATAGCTTAAAAATAGTAGGTATAATAATTAGAACATAATTGATATTATATTTTGATTAATCGCTGACATGATGAATAACTATAATATAATATTTTGGTTATACATATTTAATGTTTTACATTTTTATTGAAGTTTTAAACGAGACAGTCCAAAATATTATATATATATTAGATGATAATAWTAATAATACAATCGTTCGTTAATATATTATATGAAAAATATTTCTCGTCGCGTATGACGAAGTTATATCCGAATACTAATACCTACATCCTAAACACAGGTTAAATAAATCGTAAAATTTCGTTGCCTTTATTTTTTATATAGTTTTATCCACGATCAGTGATCTATGAATTAATTGTGTATGTATGTGTATATTGGTTAATCGTCGGTATATTATGATGTTTTAGAATATTAAATCTACCTATTATATCGTATAAATATATAATATAAAGAAAGAAAGGCCGTATAATTTATGCTTTATAAYCTCAAATATTGTATATAAATATATATTATTATTACCAGAAATCATCAATACACAGTGCGACACTGCAGGTATCTATTAATATCACRGCTGAGTATGAGGTACAACAGTGTACAAGGTATAACTATCGAAGTATCGAGCATTCTAGTAGATAACTATAAAATTATACAGCATTGGTAATACTAAATAATAATACTAATTCACATATGTTACCTTAACGACTATATATCATTAGGTTGACTTGAGTCTAAACGTGCGTATGTTATTTTTATCTATAGATCATTATTTGAGCTTGAGTACGCTGAGCATGCACGACAGCAGTGACTCGAACTATCAGAACAGCCAGCCACTGAACCCCAACATACCGTACTCGCCCGAAGGTAAATRACATTCGGTTGATAATCATTACATTGAGAACTACGTGAACCGTTTATTTGTGAAACGCTATATGTAACTTATTAATATTCTGTATTGAAAATTAAACTGCAATAGAGTTGGTTAAACGAAATGCATTAATAAAACCTGTTCATCTAGCATTTTAAATGGCATTCGGTACAATATGAATATTATTTAATCATATTTTAATCGTATAATATATATAYTGCACAAAAAAGTTTGTTATTCTTACTATACTTTTCCGGAAGTTTCACTTTTCAGATTTATCTGTAACCTTTTATTTAATTAAAAAAAAAACAATCTGACTTTATRAAATACACAATAAATAATATAATATYTAACACAATACTATTGTCGGTTGCTGCAGGTACGTACACCGGCGACCATTCGGTGGACAGTTTCTGCAGTTCGGACGTGTCCCTGGACGGCAGCACCACGGCGGCGGACGAGATCGGTTCCGATACCATGTCACTAGACCTGTCCGTCCACCACGGCACCCATAATCAAAACGTGCACCACCAAAATCACCATCACCATCACCATCACCATCACGTCGGTGGTGCAGCGTCCGTGGTGCCGGGCCAGCAGATCAATCCAATCGACAAACTGTATCTGATGCAAAACTCTTACTTCAATAGCAACGACCATTAAACGATATCATAATAACATACACATCACCCACTCATGCCTATATTATTAAACCTTATATATTATTGTTGTTGTATTTTATAATTATCTCGTACCTATATCACACACACCGGCGGTTGCCGTGTTGTTGGTAATGATTATTGGACTTTAACGATAGGTTAGGGTGTCCTGCTKGTCCCCGCGCTCGTCATCATCACTGTTAAATATTCATATTATTTCATCATAAGATATAATATTATGATKCTTGCCTGACGGCAGACTTTAGTACATTTTAGTGCCTCCACAACACTCGTATTATATTTTTATTCTTGTAAAACGCATAATGTTTAAAACTTGTCATATTATCTATAGCTATACATAATAATATATTATATTTTTCTGTCTATTACGCTGTTCTGTASTGCAAGGTATTACAGAGAATTAACTTACAAATAAAATTGATGAACTAACTACCATTATAAATTATTTTGTTCTAATCAGTGTTTAAAAATATAAACTTACAATAAAAACCAATCACCTATAT